ATCCACAACCACCCCATGCTCCGCACGCACGGCACGATGGAGGCAGTTCTCACGCACCTGATACGATTTTCATGCACCGTCGCCATCACAATGCCACTGAAAGCTGACTTTGGACCCATGCCCAATTCCGCGTGTTACTGTACATGTGGACCTCAGTTTCTACCTCATGCAATTAGCCAATCCGAACTCAATGCAACGCCCCTAAGATGGCTACGTCGCAGTCGAAACTATTTAATGCGCCTTGACTGCTTGCCCCGAGTCCAACCGCTCTGAGCAGCAATAACAGCTCCAAAGCAACTCATTAGTCTGGATTTTTCGAGGACAACATTTTGGACATTAGTCGAGTGAACCCCTCTCCGGCGTGGCCACATGCCTCCTCTGAGCTCATGGCGCTGTGGACACAACTGGTTGCGGGCTACCAGTACAAGGTGAAACATGTGCGAGCGGGTGAGCCGCACATCACCTCAATGATGGAACTAGTGCCCCTACAGCGGTCAACACAAGTGCGTCGGCTCTTGCAACTTCCATCTACTCTGAACGGCGAACGCGCCAGATTCCAAGCGATCTTGCGTCGGCATGGCCAACACCCATCGCATTTCTGGATGAATTATCCCACACACTGATTGGTCAATACTGTGGCTGCGAAGCTACCTTTCATTTGATTTTCCCATTTCTATTACCACATGCTGTACAGCAGAGAATCCAATAAGTTGATAGAACTGTAGGATTAAAAGTCACATACACCCTAATATACAGTACACTGAATAATGACCGAGATATTTCCAATATCTCCTTCGCTTTGATCAAATGTGCTTAGCCGATCAATCTGACCCACCATGAACATGAAGTCCAAAATCCTAATTCAGTCCCAATTCATGTAGTTTATTAAATAATCATTGGCTTAATGCACTCATATTGTATCATCAACGAGCCAAGTAGGAGCACAATACCTTGTGCTTTGGCAAATTAACATTACGATAGGCATGAATTGCTCTAACGATACATTCTTTTCCAAATATCGTATTCAACATCTAACTTTGACGAACAATCCATGTCTCGGATTATTGGCATCGACGACGTGTCGCAGAAGACTCATGAACGTATCAAACCCTCCGAAGCGAATGTGGTAAAGGCTTTGAATACGTCAACCTTTCTCCATGCCTTTGTCGATGAAAAGGATTGTCGTAGAAGGCCAAGTCGTTTGTTTAATCCGGAAAGTGAGGATTGTGACACGTTTGATACTACTCCGATCCACGTAAAGTGTCCACTATCAAAATTGGAAACATTCCAGTTGAGTTGTCACTTCTACTTTCATTGGCTAAAATTATGCATTACATGATATATATTGGTAGAAACTCCAACAACAAGACCATGACTTGACACACACGGCTCCATCCGCAGGCATTGCGTTTCAAATTACGAACAGTTGCCTGCGCATCCTCGACAGCAGCGACGAAGTTCCGATTCAAGCCTCCTGCAACATCGAGTCCACGCCGTGCATTGCGTATAACGACTTCTGGGTATGTAGGGCAATGCGCAAAAAGGTGAATCAATGTCGGCGGTGGTGGCTGCTGAACCAAGACGTCGTGCCGATGCGCAGGTGAACTCTGAATATAGTTCGCCCATAATTGCCAATTGATGTCTTGAGACCTGTAGGAGGAACCATGCAGCTCACGCAGTCTTGTCTTCAGTGTCAGCAGGCTTGCCATCGACGAGGCTCCAGCTCGATCCGACTCGGCGGGCTCAAGCAACGTTTTGGTGACAAGTAGCCAGTCTGCTTTCGATGTCACATTGTTGGAGTAGCAATGAATGAAGAGAAATACGTCCTTCCCCATCCAACGTTGTAGAATTTGTGTCGTCAAGCTTGCAACATCTTGCGTCTTCTTGTTCGGTGGGTACATGAGCACGAAGCGGTCAATGCAACTTGTTGTCGACGCAGTCAGAGGTGACCATGTTGGGATGCGATGTGATTGTGTGTCTGTCGAGTGCTGGAATATGACTTCACGTTTCAGGTGGCGCATTGCAATTTGACAGATGCTGTCCACCACTTCATCCACCGTCGACGCTTGGACCAACACAGTATCAAGGCTGAACCCAGACGACTGATCCCTGAAGTTACAAACGCTTGGAACACAACGGAAGCTGAATAAGTGGCATGCACTCTCGACCACTTCGTGCGTGATGTCGGCGGTGCTTGTCATGGAATGTCGTGTGTGTGATGCCGTTGCTTTTGGTGGTTGGGCACAGTATGTTTTCTAAACACGTAGGAAACACCTGGATTTGATCCATTTGGTTTTTGTATGGCGTCAGTTGTGACGTCAATTGTGCTGCGTCAAAAATATTGACGCAGCACTCTAGTTTTCAACTGACGCAACAAATACAGTTGTTAAACTTCTTTTTTCAAAATTTTTAAATCAATAATCTTTGTTTAATAATTTCTTTTTCGCATAAAATATTTTTTTGAGATAATCGGGCTTGAACTGATAACAATATATTTGAAAAACATATATCGTGAAATACATTTTATACATCTTATTTATCTAAAGGAGACACTAAAGCAATATTACATGATCCAAATAGATCTGCAAACATTGCAAAAAAAATTAGTCCAATAATAGATTCTTTTTATATATTAGCACCCGAAGGTTTAAGAATTGGATTAAGTTTCATATATTTATATTGGAAAAATTATGCATATTCATTCTCTTTTTAATTTTTTTGAATAGTTGAATTAATATAGAATAAAGATGATACAATTGTCACATATACGATCTGACTGAAAGTGATGTTTACAGTTACATGTCCATGTTGGTTGTCACCCACGCAGCAGCACCAGTGATCCGCACTCGAAACAGAAAAGCTATGTTATGACCAAGCAGTGTCTGCGAACAATACACAGCGCCGCCCACGTGTGAGAGAGCTGGCCATGATGCCAGTTTACATGGCAGCGTAGTCTCCTCCTTGGGCTTCGACATCGTGGGGCGGGTCGCTGAAAATTTCGGCCTCGCGGTGTTGGTCCTTTTGCTTCTTCCAGATGAAGAAACCCACAGCACCTGCCGCTGCGAGAGAACCGACAACAATGCCAGCAATCGCGCCGCCAGACAGACCTGTCTTTGTGGCAGCAGAGGACCCATTGGCGTTGCTAGACGTGGTCGAACCCGAGGCGGGAGCGGCTGTCGACGCAGACCCCGCACCCCCGTTGGCAGAGCCGCCGTTCGTGCCAGAAGTACCACTGTTCAAGCCAGAGCTGCCGCCGTTCGAGCCGGGCACACCTCCGTTGTCGGGGATAGGGATGGTTGCCGCTGGGGCTGGCCCTGCCGTTTCTGCCACGACGGGGTTCTGGTACGTCGTCGGCGACGGCGTTGGCTTCGTGGTCGGGTATGTCGTCGGCGCTGGGGTCGGGTATGTCGTCGGCTTGGTGGTCGTCGTGGGTTTCACCGTCGTGGTAGGCCGGATTTCATAGCCCGTGCACTTCGCCGTCGGCATGAGTTTGTAGCCACCGCAGGTGTGGCAGCTTTGTTTCTTGCATTGGGTGCACGATGACTTGGGCATGAGCTTGTACCCGATGCACCTCGTGCAGTCCTGGACCGTGTCGTCAATGTCCGACGCCTCGCATAGCTTGGGGCAGCGCGCATTCGGCATCATGCCGAAGCAGGGTTTCTTGATCAAGTAAAAGAACTCGCTTTGCGCCTTTTCACCGAGCGCGAAGCGTCCGGTGTTGCTTTCAAACACGGTCGCACCCAGACGCGCTTGGTTACGGAGAAACATGGTCGGCATGTCACCTTTCGTGCCGTAACTCGACGTGACGACGCAGGTGCTGAGCACGGTCGCAAACAGTCCAAACCAGCCTCGCATGAAGATCGAGTCGCCCAACAACAAATTCAAAAGTGCCTCCGCAGCGTGTGGGGGCGCGCGCCGTTTCGCCAAATAATCGGCACCAACCCGAACTGCTCGCGGTGCCACGCACCCAATCCCATGCAGCGACCTTTCGGTCGAAACCGACGCCGCTTCGCGCGGCTCCCCCGTCATTGGCGTGCCAGAATAGCCAGGCCAACGCGGTGTAACCTCTCCTCCTTTCGAAACCTCTGCATGGACGGGTTGTCCTGGAAGCATTCGATCGGGGTGGCATGCTTGAAGCAGTCCACCGTGGGTGTTGAGGGCTTGGAACGGACACTGGCCTGAACCATCTCAACTCCGATCCTATTGAGCCAGGCACTGGTCTCTGACCTATCCATTCGCCAACGAAATGTTCTGGCAAATCATGGAATCAACTCTGCGCTGCGAGCAAGGGACCGCATGTCGATCGCTCACGTGCCTGCGGCAATTACCAGGCACCGCCGCTCATCCTGATCTTCCATCTGAACGCGCGGATGGCTCGACGCGCCACGAGAATCATATCTTTCGCCTCGAATCGTTGTGAACCTCGACGAATCTGTTGAGCGAAGGAAGAAGATGCGATAAGGACTGTTGATAGATTGAACACACGACCTAGAAGCATTTCCGTGTGGCACGCAACAATGGTCTCACACAAAAGGAATGCCGCTGAACGTGCGCGCCTTGTACGGCGGGTACTGTGTTGGAAAGAACTCGTGTAGGAGTTCTTCTTCGTATCTACACAACGTCGTCTGTCCACACCACGATGACAAGGCGATAGGACAACTTACGGGATCCGATCCTTGAAGAAGCTCCACGATGCTGCTGTGTACGCGACCGTGCACACCGGATTACATAAAAAGACCTGGCTCCCAATGCTCCAGTAGAACCAGCCAAAGTACGACGGGTGCCGAATGTACTTGTACACGCCGTGCGTGACCAGCGTGTGCTCCTTTCGCTTGGCAACTTCGATGCGGTGGCTGAAGTTGGACTTGGCTGTCCACATTGCGCCGACGCGGAAGCTCGCACCCATCACGATGAGGAAGAGACCGATCGTTGCGACTTGGTGGAGGTATTTGCGCTCGGGAAAGAAGTACGACTCGAGCCAGAACTCGACGCATCCCGCGGCGAGGGCCAAGTGATATGCATCGCTGTGATTCAACAGGAATGCTACAACCACGTGCCGGTGAGCTCGAATGTGTGAGTGACGCACACGTACATTCGTAGCTGACAAACCCTGGCTTGAACGCGGCCGTGCTGATGAACTCAGAGAAGTGGAAGAATGCCAGGCAGACGACGTACAAGGACCACTGAATCACCGCATGTCTGTACACCCAGTCGTCGGTCCACCAGCACGCCCACACGAAGAGACAAATGTGCAATGCCATGACGAACCCCAGACCGAAACCAGCAACAGCCACCTTCCCCAGGCCTACGTCGGAAGTGAATTGGATCGACACCATCGTGAACGCCGTCGGAGGTGGGCGTCACTTGCGCCGATCGGAGCGCGGTGGACACACGCCGCAAGTGTGTTTGCCTGCAACACCATTGAAGTACGATTGAAACGTATAAAGTTCGATTCAGTTAAGTATGGTTCTGTGAAACTGCCGTGGAAAATTTCCTGATCGACACATCTTGCGATGGCTGAACCGGCAGCGCCTCGAGACTCGTCGGCGGGAGAGTCGGAGGGGCCCGCGGTGCATGGAAACACGACAGTGGAAAAGAAAGTAGCCCATGTGGTGCATCAAGACTCGCTGGACGGGGAAGAAGAGGCTGTCGCAGCGGTATTGTTCGCATCGAAAGGTCGATGGGGTAAACGTACGCTGAGCCTGGTTAATGTAGGCATACTATTGGGACAACGAGAACACAGCGACGTATGTCGACATTGGCACGAAGGCATGGGACTGGACTCGATGGACGGGCGCCAAGGTATTCTCGGGCCTCGAGTTTGGCGGGGAAGTCGTCGCGACGTTTTTTGGTCTGACCCGATCGAAGTACGACTGGATCTTGGAAACGAAGGAGCGCGAAGACCAAGACCGCGCGTTGCGGCAGCTGGAGAAACGCCAAAGGAAGCAGCTTCGCTTGATGGAAATGCTCGCGGAAGAAAAGCGAAAGCTGCACGAGTTGGAGAACGGCGCAATCGTGACCCACAATAGCGACATTTTGTTGTGATGAAAAGAATTACTGCGTTTCGTCGGGGTGTTGAGTCGGCAACATTCGAGATGGAGGAGTTAGGCGACGAATCAACGGAGAGAGTTCGGCTTGGCAACGCAGCTCGGCGATTTCGTGCTCGAGCTGGCGTATCGTATCTTGATAATGGAGCTCACTTGTCACGGCAACGGAATCAATAATGCGAAAGATGTACCCCACTCGAAACACGACCAGAAGGCCAACAACGTCTCGCCCTTTCCAACCATGCAGTAGAATGCTAATCGTGAATGTTGCCAAGATGATGGCAGCATCAAACGAATGTAACCAATCGTGGCAATAATGTGTCCATCCCAGGAACACGAGCTTTGCCACGACCTCGACCACGAACAGTGACAAGATCGCGAGGGATATGTGACTTAGAAGTGCGGCGACTTCAACTGCGGTAGAACGTTGGGGACGTCGTTCATCCTCACAGCTGGATGAGAGAGTGACCAGCGTCAATGACAGCTCCCCAACGACACAGGCAAAGTCCACCACCAAGAGGGCGAGAAACACGACATGAAGCATGCGGGAGCGGAGAAAGGTCGTGCATTTCTCTCGGATCGCTGGCATCGCCCCTTCATGGGGAGAGCTTCCTTGTGCCATGGGTGGATGCATGATGGGAACTGACACTTTAGAATGCGCGCAAATTTCATGCCAAAACCAGGTATTCTCATCCAGGCACCCTATTTTATGGTGCATCAATGTCGTACTTAACAAACAATGTGTTCATTTACAACATTGATGTGGTGTCAACGGTTCAATAACGGTTTGATTTCATTTTAAATCCTTTATATTAAATTGCTCTGGGGAGCACCCCTTAATGTCAACTTGTTGACTCTCTAATGTACGAAATCAAACGTACCTGTGAGAGCTGAGTTGAATTTTATTCATGGGAGATAATATAGTCTATTCAACTTTATACAAGAGTGTAAATTAGTAAAGTACGAATTCACGAAGTCGGCGGCGTGAGCTCCATAAACGCAGTTTTCCTCCGCTGCCCAATGGCCACCCCTCACTTTGGTCCTGCGGTTCAAGATTTGCCTCCCAAGGGCGGCTTCCGCCCGCTTCGCTTCGCCCGCGGCGTACCAGAGGTCCGTGGACCTCCCGGCTGGTCGATGTTCGCGGCATGCTTTGCTGTGACGTCGTTTGGGTTTTACATGGTCGGGCAACAAAACCAGGAGGTTCGCGCGTTGCGCCGCGAAGTCCGTGAACGCCGCATTGCGATGCTGCCGTTCTTACAAGCGGAAGAAGACATTGAGTTTCTGCAAAACGAAGCGCACTACTTGGAACAAGAGAAGGAGCGCATGAAGAACGTGCCAGGGTGGAAGGTCGGCGAGTCGGTATACCATTCCAAGAAGTGGCAGATCCCGCTGTATGCCCAGTAAAGCAATGCCCACTCGGTGCGAATCAATTGCTTATTAGCGTTAACCGTCGTGTGCAAACAATTCCGCCAACACGTCGTAATTGATATTCTTCGACTTGCTGCGCTGCTTGGTTTGCAAAGTCTACAGCGAGAACTCCGCCATGAGCACCACCACGAACGACTGTCTTCCGATCCACGTACATAAATAGCATGTTGCGCTGTCTCGGGGAGCGGCATCTCGGCCAAGTCGTCGGCGGATGTCACCGTTTTGGGTCGCTTGGGCTTTTTTCGCTTCACCTGCTGCGAATCCAAGTACTTTTCCTTCTCCGCCTGACCCATCATCATGAGCCATTCGGACTAAGGATGCATCTACGCATCTACCTGACTTTTCAGATATTCGGCATGGATAGTCTCCCACAGCTTGGTCTTGGATGCGGCCTCGGACTCGGTCAAGATCATCGCGTCGATCTCAGCGTCGTCGATGTCATCGCCGTCCACGTCGTCGATCGGCAGTGGTCGTTTTGCAGAGGCTTCCGGCGTTGCTGACGGCGCGAGTGCTGTGGTTTCTTCTTCGATGCTGTCGGCTAGCTCCTGCTCCAACGTGGCAAAGAGCGCCGCATCGGCTCGCTGCTTGTTAAGCCACCGCCGTCCCCGTCTCTGGACAGAGTCCACGAGCAACTGGGCAGACCGCCGCGACGCGTTCGAGAGCAACGTGGCATTGGCATCTTGAAAGCCATAGTCGTCTTCTTCGTCGGCTTCAAGCAGTGCGATGGGCGTGCCATTCGAAGCACCGTGTGCGTGGGAGTTGCTGCCTTTACCCTGGTTCGTCGATGCCTCATGCCACTGGTGTTCGATGCGGCGGGTCCACTGCGCGTCATCCACAGAGTCTAAGGTTACATGAGCTTCTGTCCATCCGCCATCAACATGACAGGTGCTCCATACCTTCGCCAGCTTTGAGCAGCAACGTCTGCATCGCCTCGCGCTCGCGGTTCTTGGAGAAGCAAGGCGGGTCGCACTCGAGGAGTTGGATCTCGACTTTTCCCATTTGGTCGAACGTGAGCTGGCCCATGGGCGTGACGGCAAACTCGGACAGCCGCTTCTTCAGTGTGTTTTCGCCAATGCTAACGATCTCGGCGACCTCGGAGAGTGTGCACAGCACGTTGTGCGACCGAGCAGCGATCAAGAGAGCAGCTCCACAAATACCTACGATCGAGATGGAGATTGAGCTGCAGGGCGGCAAAGCGGGCGTACCTGACGGTCGTCGGCCAGTCTCCATCCAGTCGCGCTTCATGGATGATACTAACCGCAATGCTGTGATGGCAACGACGTGCATCTGCGACCCGAGTGAAAGCTGCGACGCGAAACGATGGATGTATAGCGATGGGTCGATCAATGGAATGCTGAGCTGGAGGAGACGGCAAAATTTCAGAAACACCGCGCCGAGTTGGAAGACTGAGATCTGGAGCTTGTCGCTGAAGTCGATGAGCAAGTGTGGCGACTTCTCCCTTCTACACACCACGTACAGGCAGGCCGCAACGATCGTCTGCCACCTTCGGCCATGTGTAAAATTGCGTTGCAGGGCGAGCCCAAAGAGTCGATCCGCGCTCTCGACGTAGTGTTCACCGAGTCGCAGCATCCCCGCGACTTGCTTGATTCGTCTTCGACCAGTCGCTAAAGTTGCTGCTCGACTCTCGGAATCGTAGTGCTTACCACCGAGACCAATGTTTGTGCTGACCTTGGTAGCGTTCCCTGACACAATCTGACCGATCACAGAATGTGCACCGCCACTCTCCGAGAACTCGACGGCCGACACAATCATGTTCGCTTCCACGACGGTACCGCATGAGACGCACACAGATTCCCCGCTTGCCTCATGCGTGTCAATTTCTGTGCATTGACATGTTGGACACACGAGGCGTCCCATGTTGGTGCGAGAAACTTATGCGTCGGCGACTTTTGTTGGCAGCGTGTTGGAGTAGTACACTAATTGCCGTTCCAATTGGGTCCAAAATAGTGTGTGCTACCACGTACCAGTGAAACCGCTGCTACGTCTTACACTAAATATTAGTTTATAACACTATTTATATGTTGTCGAGGGTTCAGTCCAACTAGACGAGATTTGATTGGTCGATCAGTCGCTTCGCGCGCAGTTTCAAAAATGCCGCGCCACCGCCGACTGCCGAATCACTGAAGGACGTGCGCATTGGAGGTGTTCCCGTCTTACATGCTGCCTGTGCATACATCGGATGATTCATGCATAAGGTAACGCAACACAGCCACGAAGCGACTTCGCGTTCACTGGACAACTGCTTCCCCTGCACTGTCCTTGCGTGAAAGCTCGGTAGACATATGAAGCGGCATCTTGAAGATCGTCAACCCAATTCTTCAAGTGAGGTACCCGGTCCATGCCTCGTGGCCTGCTTTATATTGTGGCTCGTGAAAGCTTGTAGACACCTCATTGTGAGTCGGTAGCCGTTGATGCGTCCCCTCTGAACGTTGTAGCTCGACCGCAACGGTCGACGAAGTCAAAACCTCAGGTGCTGCGGGTCAAAGCATCTCGCACTGCGAAGATCTTGTGCACAGTTAGAACCAACGACTACGTCCCTTGACTGGGCTTAGATGGAATCACTAGCCCTCTGGCCCAAACTTTATTCCGCCCTCATGCATCTTCCATCACCGCCACGTTCCCGACCTATTGATAGATTCTCCAGCATTTTACCTTCATGTTGGCTTGTTCGGCACTTGCCCGCAGACACACCTGTCAGAGACTTTGTGTGTACAAGCACCTCTGGTTGCTCTTCCTTGTCACTTCCACGGGCGGCATCATGGACTTGGCGCGCTTGCTGTTCGTTCAATGTTGTTCCTTCAAGCCAACTTTATCCGGTTCGGGTCAAGTATCCGGATTTCTCTGGGCAGATCCCAACAACTCGGCCACTCACGCACGACCTCTGATCAAGATGACGGAAGTACGAAGAAGCAAGCGCCTCGCGGGAAGTGCCATGCCTACCGCCAAGGACTCCCCGGTGAAGCGAACCAAGAAGGGCATTCCTGCGAAGAAGGGCGCCAAGAAGGCTGCTGACGCGGACGACGAAAACGTTGGCAAAACGAACGACGCCGCCGTCGCTGTACCGGAGGACAAGAAAGAACCGGAAGGCGAGACTCATGCCGTTGATGCCGAAACCGAAATGGCAAATACTGCTGCAGAGGATAAGGGACCTTCCAAGACCCTGAAAGTTGGGGACGTCGTGCCGAACGTGGCGCTCAAAAACGAAGACGATGTGGAAGTGAATGTGCATGACCTTGTCAAGGAAAAGGGAGCGGTGTTCTTTATGTTTCCCAGGGCTGATACTCCAGGGTGCACCAAGCAAGCATGCGGTACGTATCACTTTTGCCTGCACGATGTGTCCTCATGCCGATCTCGTAGGCTTCCGCGACGAGTACGAGAAGTTTAAGGCTGCAGGGTACAACGTGTTTGCTCTCAGTGGCGACAGCCCCAAGGCATTGAACAAGTGGAAGGTAAAGAAGGAACTGCCATATAAGTTGCTCTCGGACCCGGCGCATGCGTTGATTGCGCCGTTTGGGAGTTCAAAGCCTGGGAAGAAGGTGCAGCGATCACATGTCATCGTTGCGACTGGAGGCGCTGTCGTCGACATCCAGGGCCAAGTATCGCCTTTGGACAGCGTCGACAAGTCTGTCGCGTTTGTGACCAAGACCTAAGAAGCCCCCCTCGCACCACCACCGCATCTTTCGCCATCGTTCCATTGTGAATCCATCTCGAGTCTGTGTATTTGCTTCGACGAGTTCATTTCTGCCGTTTTCGACTACCCGAGTCCGCCTTTTGTTCCTGTGCGACTTCGCGCTTCTTGAACGGGTTCACAAACGTTGACGCGGTGGGTTTCGACGGGGGTTTTGCGACTGGGTCTGTCGGGGCTGTGGAAGTTTGTGGCGAGGTCGCATTTCGAGACATGATGGGGATACGTGAAGGAGGACGCAATGAGGAACTGCCCGCGGTGGGAGGCCGCCGCTCCATCGAGGTCGGGGCTGCAGCGTCGACTTCAATACTGGGCCGAGTATCGATGGGAAACAGCGAGTCTTGAAGTTGCTGCAACCTCGACTGCAATTCGCGCAGTCCAAAATGAGTCGCGATTTGTTGCGCAATCGCATGCGACTTTTCCAACGACAGGCATGTGGCCAAGTCGTAGGCTTTCTGCACATCGTCCGATGCACACATGGCCTTGACCCGAAGAAGGATAGCCTTGTCCGCGGCGGCTTGACGAGGCACCACGTAGTCGATAGGGTCGGAAGGGTTCATGGTAGCAGCATTGTGGGCGGCCCACAGCGCGTCGTCTTCAACCTTTTCGTACGCCCATGTGGACAGAACAGGGCGATGGTGGCGCGGAAGCTGCAATGGCTGGTCCAGTACCTTGGGCAGGAAGTATACCGTGCCATCGCGAATGCCAACGCAAAAGATCGGACCATGCGTGTGGCTTGGTTGGACGAGCGGCATCCATTGAAGCCCGACCAAACTGCTCAGTGCAAATACCGTGCCCGTCCCGGCTTGCACGAAAAACAGCACCCCAAGGTCGTTGAAACCGACCCATTCGACTGCCGGTGCAGCCACCGTCAATGGGGTCGATGGAGGGTTCGTCGGCGGCATCACCCCCTCCGCAACCTTTTGAACGCGAGGCAACGATGCCTGAATGGTGTAGACGGCGTAGTGCAGTTCGGCAGAGCTAGTCGCGTACAAGACGGCAAGCTTCCCGCTGCGATGACTTGCCATGGATACAATGCGGCCCGACAACGCAAAAATTGCAAGGAGTATGCCCCCCATCGAGTACACGCGAACAAAGTGAGTCGAGCTCGCAACGAAGCAAAAGGACCCAGCAGTAGTGACGCATACGACGTCTTCGCCGTCGGGGAGCGAGACATGCCATGAACTACTCGAGTTCCATGACTCAATGGCGCGGTAGGTGACAACGGCAGGCATGTCGTCCTGTGTCGGCGCGGCGAAGATCGCCCCAACATCGTCAAAGTCGGCCATCGTCAAGTTGTACGTGTCATGGAACTTGAACCCGCGCTTCGACTTATCGTTAAATCGGAGCACAATCAGCGGCGTTTGGTCTGCCGACGAGAGCGCTTCAATGTCGCCGAGTAAGTTCCACGCAAGAAGAATCACAGGTCCTTGCAGGACCGCGCCAGGTTGGAAAGTCGCCTGGACTTGCTGCACGTAGTGCTGGCCAGCAGCGGAAGACATTGGCACAACGGAAGAGTTGAGGAGGGGGGCGTCCATGGCAGCTTGCGTCGCAGAGGCATCCAGGTCATCCTCGTCGTCCGGAACCGTCGCTTCATGCAGAACGGCCATATCTGGGTCAAACCCAAAACTGCGCTTGATGGCGTTCACTTGTTCTTCTTCGTCCACAATAGCATCATCGGCTGAGGCAGGTACAGTGATGGATGTTGCGCCTGGGGGCTCTTTCAATGAAGGGGCAGGATTGGCGGCGATGGCAGCCACCTGTGGTAGGGCGATGACAACCGTCGAACTGCTGGCGGCAGTTGGAGGGGGATGAGTTGAGGGTACAACGTTCGAGGCATGCCCAAGCGACCCCGACGTCATGAGCACTGCAAAGCTGTTGGCGTCAACGAGCCATGAGAGCGCAATCACGTTGTCGTCGCATTCGAAGCTTGCCACGACGGCTTGTGACGCCACTTCCCACACAAAAATCTACAACGCGTATGAGTCGTCAGGCCGTCGATCGGTAGACATGAAGGTGATCGTGCCTGTTTCGCCATGGACGCTGCGGCTACGTACTTTCCGTTCGGGGAGAACGCAATGACGTTCACGTCCGAGTTGAACACGCCTTCAAACGATGGAAACACAAGCTTGCTCGACAACGTCCACGTTCCGCGCTCGTAGAGTCCGACCGTGTTCATGCGCATAGGGGTAGCCAAGAGCGACCCGGCCTCCGGCTGCCACGCGACGCGCGCCAACACGTCATCGTTGGACATCCCTTGCTGATACTGAATCGGAATGCTGCCCGACGCGTTGACTTCACCCGTGTCGCCATCAACATTGGAAATATCGAACAGTTTCACCGTGTTGTCGGATGCTGCCGTCGCCACGTACGTTTCCAGAGGATCGATGGCGATGCTTTTCACAGGTTCCTTATGTCCTTCCAGCACAAGGACGCGCTCCATGTTGGCACGGAGAACGATGCGGCTTCGCAAGTCTTCACTCACCACCGCCACGTATGACTTGGAACTCGAAATGTACTTGATTTCTTCCGTGCATCGAAGGTAGCATCCCTCAAACGTCGCCTTGGCACCAAGGCTGTAGCGGTTCAACAAGTAATTGTCCGATGAAGCCACAAATACATCGCGACTACTTCCGTCGCTTGATGTCGTCGCGCTCACACTGATTGACGGAACTGTTCCGTCATCAGTCACAATGCGCATCGACTTGATCTCCTTCATTTCCTTCATATCTGTAAAGCAAACGTACCCGTCTTCGCCGCAAGTTACAGCAATTCCATTGGGGAGGATATCCAGGTCGCCGATGCCCGGCGGGTGCACGGAGAACGACGCGAGCGTGCGGAAGGAGCTCATGTTGTCGCGGCCCCAAAATATCTCTGCCCAAACTACTTACGCACGCTTTCACAGCGCGCGCGCAAGGCTTCCCTCCAAAATCCACCAATAGGAAGTCTTTTCAAAGTTTTAAATACTTAGATGAGTTTAGACATCATGAATTCCACCAATCAAATTTTAAAGAATAGGTTGCCATGAAAACCTGACTAAATAAAGAATAAGCGACGGAGGTCTGCCAATGAAAAGCCGATGCGACAGGTTGAAAGAGCCACTGCTTGTGCACCATGTGCGGCGGCGGTGGACGAGGGTGGACTGTGGGAGCGGGAGGTTTGACGACGCTCCGCGCCACCTCCACGGACGGATCAAGACCCCTCCGGCGTTTTCAGCGGCTCCTATTCACGATAGTGACCAGAACGTTGCCCCTCCCAACTGAAGAGTGGAGTCGCGACGTTCTTGTACGCCCAGGTCGTGGACGTACTCAAAGGAATCAGACTCGAAACATGAAGTATGTCCATGAAAACAATCCTCAGTCCATTCGGAGATGAGATCAGGCACAGGAAAATGTACGACAAGTTGGATGTGAAAAGCAGCCATGGACTGGGGCCTCCGTTGCGGCTCAATGAAACTCGTACGTTCGTCGCATGCCCTGCCAAGATGTGTTGAAATACTATGTATGATTATGTTGATTGGGATGCTGGACGACGACTCTACTCCGCCGTGCGGTGCTTTTTCGACTTTTTCGACTTCTTCTTGGCTGGACTACCATCCATTGCAGGGGAGGGCTCTGTGGCGACGACGTCTCGTTTTTTAGGAACTTCCACCGTCTCGACAAGTGAGAAGCTCCGAGCAAAGGGTTTGCCTGGGGAGATGACGATGACCACGCAAGGACTCTGTCGACATGGGTCATCGTGCCTCACCTGGTACAAAGTTCTGGCTGTTCTTCTTGTCAGGGACGAGGTTGATGACTTGGGAGTACAGGTGGGTATCACTCGACGTGAGCTTGAACTGTTTCGTGGCGCCTTGCACGGGAACTTCAATCGTTGCTCGTTTGTCTTTTGGCAACTTGATCGTCACGCCATGCAGGACGGACGCATCCTCCTGTACCATCGCATTCCATCAGCAATCTCATCCATCATGCAAATCTTCCATTCGCTTCGTACGTTCTTGGGAATACGAAAGAACCACAACTCCTTGTTTTCCAGACAACTCTTTGTGATGGATCCACCTGTGACGCTTTCAAAGCCAGGCGGCAATACGAATTCCCTACACACACGCATCAGCCGCCATCCGCAGCAGAGCGTCAACGTCGTGCGCATACTCTTCCGAATCGCTGCCGCTGCCGCCGTCCGACATGGTCAAAGTATCGACGATTGGCGCAAAGCGGTACCGTTTCAACGAGCGCTGATTGGCTGGTACATCCTCGTCTGTGATTGGTGGAGACATTACAAGGATCATGATTGAATGGAATTAATATCCTTCTCTTGCATTTAGTAAAGGCAATAAAACGTTTGCAATTAAATTTGACGCCAGATGAAAATACAACAAATAGCTCGTTTTGACTGGTTGCGGCAGCCACTGGCGCTGTGACGACGGAGGTGCGGTGGCCATTTTGGTAAAATCTCCTCAAGGGCACCATGGTGAGTGCGCCGTGCGAGGGGCATGCCGGAACTGATGTGTGTATAGAGCAACGACAAGAACAACGTCATGCGCGAAATCAAAGTGGAAAAGTTGGTGATCAACTGTTGCGTGGGGGAATCCGGCGATAAGTTGACCCGCGCTGCCCGCGTGTTGGAACAACTGACTGGCCAAAAGCCCTTGTACTCGAAGGGTATGAACTGACCTTCGAACGTACCGAGAGAACACAGTGCCCTAACCGGCCCGTTCTCGGCCACCAACTTCATGCAGACGAGTTCGTTTCGAACGACTCTTGCAAAGAGGTGTGCTTCTCTGGTCGGAGCCTTTCTGGGTGACCACCGATGGTGGTTCCATCCCCGATTGCGCGTCCTATGACTCGTTCAGTTCCTTCTTCTTGCGAGACGCCCGTTCCCAACGACGACTTGTCCTGCATGACGTTGGTGGAGGTACCCTCGTCTGCCCGAGTCTAATGGATGCCCCTGTTTAGCTCGCTACACCGTGCGTACCTTCGGTATCCGCCGTAACGAAAAGATCTCGTGCCACGTCACCGTCCGCGGTGAAAAGGCCTTGGAAATCTTGGACCGCGGCCTCAAGGTCAAGGAATACGAGTTGAAGAAGCGCAACTTTTCCGACACGGGCAACTTTGGCTTTGGTATCGAAGAACACATCGATTTGGGTATCAAGTACGATCCCTCGACCGGCATTTACGGCATGGACTTCTTCGTCGTGTTGACCCGCGCTGGTATGCGTGTGTCCCGCCGCAAGTTGCGCCAAACCCGCGTCGGTGCCCCCCACCGCCTTCGCAAGCAAGACGCGATGAACTGGTTCACCACCAAGTACGAAGGGCTTATCATGTAAATTGGACTTGGTCCGTTTGCGCCAGACCACCGCCGTGTAGTTCTCTTAACCAACAAGCACTTGAGGAGCTAGTCGGTCTTCTATCGTGTCCACAGCGTTGTGCAGTTTTTGTTGCATGGCCATCGAGTAGGGTTCCCGAGCTTTGTCAAGTCGTCGATGCATAGGATGCACCTGGTGCACTTCATGTGCCATTGACTAATCCACGGATCGTGTGAGCGTCCGGCGCAGCGGTGCCGTGGACCGGAGGGCTACTGTGAGGCACCTGCGAACGGTAGTCTTTGATGCTCGACATAGCGATCATCACGTAAGCGCTCATGCCCACCTACCTCAGATCGAAAATCATCTGTAACATAGCAGGAAAGACATACTAAGTAGAACCCATCCAGTGGATGTGAGATGGAGGGATCTGGATTGTTCGGGAAACGGGGGGCTGCCTCGTTCGTTCAAGTGTGTCAGGCTGAGCTTGGTTGTGTCGATCCACAGCATCAGGTTGGACGTTGTTGCTAGCTTTCCTGTTGGATTCAAGAATCGCCGGTGTGCGGACCAACGACGCCAGATTTGGAAAGTGAATCGACGCTCATGATGTTGCTACACTCACAATCATCGTCGTGGGCCATTCCCTGTCGCTGCGCTTCGAGCAGAGGGTCCTCTTCCGAAATCATCATTTCATCCCATCGGCAATAAAGACCAGCCACGTATTTGGACGCTCAAGAACGAGAAAATCAAGGCGTTGTCGGTCTGCTGCGAGTGCCACATTGGAGGGACGTGTCAAATCGACGGCGTGCATTCAAGGCGTTGGCAGAGCCCTGTCCTCCCACCGTCGTTGTGATGATTTCCCGAAGATGAGACGAAGATGCTTCGTGGCTGTGGAATGGCGCCGAGTCGCCGCTGTGGATGGCGACTCCACGCCCAAACTCCTGGTCCGAATGATAAGAGTGGATTGTCTTGCGTTACCATGGGCCATCAATGATACGATGGCCTTGGTGACATGCGCGAGATCGACCAAGTCGACCCCGATTGCGCTGGGTGCTGCGCCGCCGACCATACACCAAACCACTCCACATGTGCTAGCAACTATCGTCTACCTGTCAAACGATGGCGCCCCCACCGCACTTAGAGGCGCTAACTAGCTCAATTCGCAAGGGCATTGCGACCGTGAGCGGCACAGGCCCACAGAAGCTCATCATGCTCTTCAGCAATTGTTGCCCTTACCCTGCGACTTTTCTTGTCAAGGGTGCTGCCCCTCTGTTCTTGGACACGATCGCAATGAATCCTCGAGTGCATGCGTGTCCTTGTGTTTGAGGGGGCTGAGCGCGCTGTTGGTGGCAGTGGGGGCAGCGTGCTGGATCATGAAGGGGGCAAACTTGACCGTTCTCGACGTCGTCCACGGTTATGATCCTCGTCTTGCAAGAGCTACACTTGCTACCACTTGAAAGCATTTACGTTGTGAGGAACGTCATGTTTGGGAACGTCGCAGCGACCTGCATGACACGGACGTTCGCATGCGCCCGAACGACCTCCACAAAGGAACCGACTTCGACTGTGTGCAGCCTTGTTGGGGAATTATCTCGATTATGCGGCACACACAACTGCGCCATCGATTCACGCCGATGAACTTGGTGCGATTTGTAGATTTATCTCGGAGTGGTGACGCGTCGAGGCGGCATGGAGTTGACGTTGCATCATGAGGTCGTGGTGGAGTCGCGATGCTCTGGATTGTTTTTCGAGGGGTGGCACGAAGCGAGTGCAATAACGGCCTGGTCGAGTGGCGATGGATGCGCATGCTGCCGAGCTACATCGTCGTGAGTTTGGTGAAGTGCAAAGTACAAGTGACAGCCATGGAGTGTGAATTACACGGACGTCCCGCCGTAACACAAGTCGATGGCCTCCTCGACGTCTTGGCTGCCATGGACGAAACTTCCGAGTCGATTTGGATCACTGGCGAGTGCCATGACGACGACCTTGCTAACATTGTACTCGTCACAAACTGCGGGTTCGAGTCGTGATGCGTCGGATGCAGCGATCATAAGCAGAACATCTACCCGTCCATCTCGCCATCCATGCCTTGTCAACCTCCTTGGTGCGACCCTCTCTGGGTTGGCACGCACGTGCTTATAGTCGCCTCAAACAGCCTCCATTCACTGCACAGTCGACGTGCGGCAAGCCGTCCTCGCAAGGTACTGGGACCATACCACACGATCATGACTCTCGGTGCGTGGTACGTTCGCGCGAGCGTCGTCTTGAGCGTCCTTCCATCGTTGGTCGCGACCTATCCATCGACAAGCACCTTCTTGATGGCAATCTTTGGAGGTATTGCGCTTGAAAATGGGTGTTTTGCCTCAAATTTGCCAGTCATGGGGGCGGATCCGTTTGGAAATTCCCACCAGCCAGCGATGCAGCGCTTCTTCAGTCAATTCTTCTTTGGGCTGCCTCCTCGCGTTCTCTTGTCTTGCGTACACGAACGGCGACATTTTGCAGCACACTGACGGGCACTTCGCTACGTCCATGTCTTGCACACCGTCTTGATGATGGGAGGGGTGGAAATGTTTGCTACCCAATCGAGCAGGTGCGACGCAATCTCACGATCCCCCCCCCCTTCCCGTCTGTCATGGTAAAATAGTCGTAGCGGCGGTGCAAAGCAGCCACCGATCCGAGGGGCGTTCGCCGGGCTTGGCGCTGTGTCCATCGTGGGGGTTAGTCTCAGATTGTCAAAGGGGACATCCCTGGCGCGTACATTAGGGTGCACCCGACCCTGACCAACTCCGAAAAGGCCGACTTGACTCGAATCCTTCGGGTCCTCCCGTTTGCGAGCTCTTACATTGTCTATGTGGTGGTGTTTGGTCACTCGTCGCCAACTTCCAGTAGGTCGTCCAGCAGTGCGACCTCCGCCGAAGTAGCGGCCGCGAAGCGCTGCAGGTCCCCGGGTCCGCCATCACTGTTTTGAGCATTGTGGGGAGTGCTCGTCGGTCTCCTCGATCTCGATCACTTGGTACATAATCGTATGGCATGCATCGTGCACTTGGCGCTTGGAATATCCGCAACCTGTCGTGCATACGTGTATCCAAGCGTGCATACGTGTATCCAAGCGATGCATGGCTCCGACGAGGCAAGCATCTTCGTTCGAGAGGGTGCTAGCTGGGTATGCCTTGTGCTTTGTGGCTATGGTTTGGACTGGCCTCGTCGATGTCGTGGCGCGTCAGGGTTCCTTGACCTGGGCGACGGTCTTGGCGATGTGGTCGACCTGGGCAAGAGTCACATCCCCCATCTGCCGAATGGAATCGTCGTCTTGATGGCGAGATGTGCACTGGGAACGACGTAACGGACAGCCCCGACGACGATGGCAACCTGTCCTTTCGTTCGCAAATCTGGTCGCACTGAGCACTTGCAAGCAGAAGAGATTCTGCCACCAACGTCGTGATGCTCTGAAGGCAGATGTGGATGCAATGTCGTGGTCGCGCGGTTGCTATGCCGCCTCTCCGCAACTGGGTTTGCTGTTGAGCCCAAATAGACAATGGAGGCGAAGACTGGACATGCATTACTCGAAGCGTTTGACCCACTCTGGTCGCGTGGCAGGGTCGCCTCGCATGACGCGGTCGGTGAATTCGTCGCTCTTGACTTTACCCTCGCTGCTGTCTGAAGCAGGTCGCAGGAGATCCATGATCTTGGCTCGGTTCTTCCTCTGTCGATCGATGTCGTCCTTGTACTTGGCCTCCTACACACCCATCCTCAAATGTCGACAAACGAAGATCTCCCCTCACGTACCAACATTGCCCGCTGATCGTCTTCGCTCTGAGGCTTGAACACGGCAAGTGCAATCGCTGTTGGGACGGTGAGCATGATGCCCCAGTGCACAAGCATCTTGTAGATTTTCATGGGCAACGTATGGCGTCGGCGATGGCGGCGATGGCCGAAGGATGGAAACTATGTGGAAGCGTGCACCAGTGATTGGTTGAATTTTGGAGCTTTGATTGGCCTAAATTGAGCAATAATTCAGAGAAAGAGATTGCACCTTCGTCAATTTCTTGAAAAACCAGTCAAATTGCAGGTTGACATGATGCTGGCAGCCACCATGTCGAGGCGGTTGTCGACCAAGTCGCCGTTGGTAGAGATTTCACGAGTACGAGTCATCATGGCCTCGATTCGCACCAATTAAAGGAGCGGAATTGTCGATTTAGGTTCCTCGCACGGCGTCGTGGTCACTCGAAGACTTGCACCGCCATCCAAACCAACACGACGTCCTCACACGAGAGAGCGTGCGTTGCATGCTGCGGCGTGGGGGATGTCGCTTGGATTCTGACCACTTTGTAGTTTTTGAATCTCGCCGAGCTTTCTCATTTGTACATTCCCGACGACAAGCTGCCCAAGTTGATGTCCGAAGTCGAGGCGATCATCCAGTGCACCCGCGTCATTCAGGTTTGAAACAGTTCCAGCCAATTCGATTCACTCGCTATTGCGCAGGAAGCCACAGTACATGCCAACGTGCACGACGTGTATTCCAAGAACAGCTTTGGCCAAGGTACACACACCACATCTCCGTTGTGTTGCTACTGGTCTTCTGTACGCTGTAGTACCCGCGGCCCCGTTGCGCGAAGACGTCGTCACCGAAGGCAACTGCCCTGACCAAGTGCTTGCCAACGCATCGACAAAGCACGGGTATTTCTTTCAAGTTCCGAAAGTCCTCGAGGAGTAATGCCATCATCTTGGCATCTCGAACGAGCCTGGCATGATGTGTGTGTTGCAATGAATTCAATTTGGGCGATCTACACCTAATTTGGGTTTCCGACGCAGAGACGTCAATGGATCCCATCGTTTATATGCACGTTAAATAGTTTAACGTCGTTTTAAACTTTCCATTTCAGTGTGCATTTTCATGCCGTCGCAGTAAAACGTAAGTATTTTGAGTGCGCAGAAACTAGTTTAGGTAGTGTGCATTTGGGCGCTCCCATCGCTTATGCCTTGAACACACCTTGGTCTGCCAAGTACTCTTCGACATCTGCATGCGCGTCACGACAGCAGTCCGTCGAACATGAAAAATCGTACCTTCCACGCGGGTGTTGAGCCCCTTGAGCTTGTTCAGCGTGAGCATTTGAGTCGCCAAGTTGCCATCTTTGTACATGAACAGCGTCGGCAAGTTGCTGCAACGCTGTGTGAGGTCAAATCAAAGAGCAGTGGGCGTACCGAGCGGGCCAGTTCTCGACACATACTTGGGACTGAATGGACACGAACTTGACGTCGCGGTGACGACTGGCAATCACGCGTAATATTTGGTCCATCAACTTGCATGCTTCCACGCTGTTTTCCCATAGATACGCGACGACCCAGCAGTTCTTGCTCGCTTCGGTGACTTCACGAGTCCATTCATCTTTCGAGATAGGCCGAACGTCACCAAACACGTTGCGCGCCATTTGCGCCTTCATCTCGGCAATACGTTTGTCCCTTGAACCAACGATTGAATGTAAACGCACAAGACATAGCGTGAACCATACCGAATACGTTGCAGCTCTTGATCTTCGTCGTAATCGTCCTAGCAGCATTACGTCAGACGTGGCGAACGCATTCGACGTACCAATGCCTACCTCCATCTCGTCGAGTTCATCCAACGTCGCCTTCTCGCGGGGATCAGTCTCATCTTCGCTCTCGTACTGCTCCTCTTCAGTCACCTTTGTCTTGGGCGCAATGATACCCTTTTTGATCAAGATGTCTTCCCATTCCGTTGTCTCGCCCGTCCCCACGTACGTCTTACTGCCGCGGTTCATCCTTGTTGTCTGCCGGCAAGTCCGAGTTTGAACCCTTCGTCGCTCTGGTGCACTCGGCGCCGTCGTCCACGACTGACAAATGTTGTGACGTATTAATATGAAATATTTATTTCTATCTTGCTCGTATTATGGGATGTGATATTTTAGTATAATGCATCTGGGTTGGAATGTCAACCAGCCTACTGCATCCGGATAATGTTTCGGATAACGGAATTTGTAGTTCCCTTCCGAGTGACTTTTCTACGGTGTTTTCAAGAAAAATATAAAAATATCCTAGCTTTTGTCGAAAAAGGCCCGAAATAATTTAGCATTATTGGCTAAATATTAACAAATCCATGTGTACGATCAGATAAGAAAATTGTATCCACCATGGCGAACGGAGACCGGAAGCGCGACGCGGCAATGACGACTCCACGGCGGCGAAATAGGTTCCGATTGGAGTATGCCGCGTTCCTAGTGGGAATCGTGATGGTATTTCAGTGGTGGAAGGCGACGCAATCAGGTTCAGCCCCTGTGGTCAAGACCTCTGTCCAGCCTGTCGTGATGTACACCCTCCAGAGCGACCCGAACGTCCACGTGATGGGCACATTTCCTCATGACAAGGCAGCATTTACCCAAGGGCTCCTGGTAGAATCAACGGGTATTCTCATCGAGTCAACCGGTTTGTACCACCGATCGTCGGTGCGACGGGTGAACGTCTCGAATGGCATTGCAAGCCATCACGTGGTGCCGTTCACAGCGGCTGAATTTGGCGAAGGCATCACATGGAACGCTGCCACCGAGACGTATATCGTGCTCACGTGGAAGGAAAAGACAGGCTACGTGTTAGATAAGACCGACTTCCACGTCCTCTCATCATTTGAACTGCCACCGACGACCCGCAACGAAGGATGGGGCATCACAACCATCACCGAGACGCACGAGCTCGTCATGAGCGACGGGTCGAACGTACTACACGTGTGGGACCCTATCTCGCTCACGGAGACCCGTCGGGTGTCGGTGCTCAACGCCGCCGGGCAGCCTGTACACTTCTCGTCCTGTTGTACTGGCACCGCTAACTCACCTTATAGGTGCCCAACTTGAACGAGCTCGAGTACGCGCGGGGCTTTGTCTTTGCCAACATTTGGTATTCGAACCTCGTGGCCCAAATCGATCCGGCGACGGGTGCGGTCGTCGCCATGCACGACCTGTCGTCGTTGAGCCTACAGAAAAACACCGACGGGGACGTGCTCAACGGGATCGCATACGACCCGACCACCGACCTGTTTTACGTGACGGGGAAGCTCTGGGACACCATGTACCTCGTTCGCATTGGGGTGAACCCGTCCACTTAATGGAGGACTCTCTACGTGATGCATGAAACGGAAGCGAGTCCAGTTGCTCACCGTGGCCTTGAAAGCAATATCCACTCGCGAAAGCATTGCCGCCGTATGAACTCCTCGTGTACGCAGACGTCAGGGAGGCTGTGTAGTCCACAACGCCTGCATGTTCGTCCGAAAGGACGGCCTCCAGTGGATGCGACTGCCACAGATAGACGTGGCACTCGCGGGGGCGCAGGAAACCTTCCAAGGATACGTGCGCCGGTCGGGTTGAAGCAGCTTGCTGTCCTGTGTGGACGAGCGAGGCTGTCCATTCTAGCAGAGTCCTCCTTCCAACCGCCAAAAACTTCTCGTGACCTTCCCGTCTCACCGCCTTCATCACACTGACAGAGGTACAACGACGGCGACATCGCGACACGTTGCCAACACCTGCGTCGATATCCCGATGGGAGCAGCATCTCTGGGCCAACCCTCCTCCTTCCCACTGTCGCTTGGACTCGCATGCGACCATCCATCACGACATACGGTCGATCGACAACTTGGCGAAGTACGTTGCGATGACGACGTCGTCGGGCGTACAGTAGCCCACAGGCATCCCACGCAGCCGTGGCCCATGCGCACCGTGGTTGTGACCTGTTTCAAACGCCGCCTGGAAACACAGGCCGTCGCAACGCACACTACGTCCACAACACGTCGGACTACGTTGGCCGTGTCCAGCAACCAAGCACCGCACTCACGACCTTGCCCCCGCTCTCCCGTGATTCGGGTGAGCTACATCATGCGCTCGTCCTGGGCACGCCGTCGACGCCGCCGCTCTGTCATGTGGCGCGCGGCACGTTCATATTCGCTTGGTGTTCAGGCACGACGACGACGTCCTGACACACAAGGACCTCATGCACTTGCAAAGGTTGCCGGAGCGATCCGGATAACAATCGTCACCTCAAGGCAAATCGTGAAATGATTCCGACGTACGTGAACCAGACCCATATCAAGGTGATATTCCGCTTGCGGGGGTTGTGTCGTCCGTCCCGACGTCCCTCCGTCTACACCGTTACACCGCCACACGGGCATGCCTCCCACAAACGAGCGATCGACGCCAGGTTGAGACAGTGTGCGAATTCCCGTCGACGCCGTCGAAACGAAGGCTCGCGATCGGCCATGCTGACCGCTGCGTGCTTCTTCGCCAACTGCGACCACCCTGCTGTCTTTGGCTCGTCCAAATGTGTGCTGCACAAGCACCGGACCAAATGCGTCGTCGACCAGTGCGCGAACCAAGTGTACGCCCGCAATCTGTGCGTCCGACACGGCGGCAAGAAGAAGTGCACGTACGAAGACTGCCAGCTCAACGCACGGATCGGTGAGTTCTGCTCCAAGCACGGCGGGAAGTCGTCGAAAGCCATCTGCACCCATGAAGGATGCACGAAACAAGCCCACAAACGAAAAAAGTGCGTTCGCCACGGCGGTGGCCGCAAATGCAATGTCGACGGATGCGACGTCCACGCGCGTCGAGGTGGGTACTGTGCCCGCCATGGCCGTCAAGCCAAGAACGGCAACCTCGTGTCGTCACCAACGTCGACTGAATCGTCCAAACCTCCCCAAGCCCCTGCAGTTCCTATACAGTGCCCTCCACGATTGACTCGGCTCGCCCTCGATCCGTTGCCACGGCTGGGAATCACCCCAAGACACGCATTCCCTCCCTACAACACAGCGTACAGGTCTTCCCCGTCCGCAGCAACAACGTTGCTTCCGTTCATGCATCCTCCCCAACACCGACATTACGAAATGATCGAGACTGCTCTGCGCCGTGACCACGAGCCGTTTGCGCCGCCGTATGCGTTGCCACCGCCGCCTGCGCCATCCAGCGCGTCCGTGCGGCTCCCCGCGCTCGGTTTTATTCAAAGAGGGCCGCCTCCGACGATGGCTCCGGTGGCCTACGGTCCCCTGTCGTCGTATGCCCCCAACGATCACGTTTTCGAGGTCAGCATTCGTCAATAAACGACTCGCGGCCTGCCCTGGTCTACGAAGTGAATACACCGATACGTTGTGGCCGACGTTGGGTCGCTGCCATCGCTGTTCTGGCTCGAATCGTCATGCGCTGGACGTGGCTTCGTGCGCAGCAAGGGTCTGTGCGATCGTTAAAAGAGTATAGCTCCTTCGTGATCACTGTGACTGGGAGCGATATATGTTGATGACCAAGGCCTCCATTCGGTCCACGACTTGTTTGCATTTCGACCCGACTACACTCTCCTCTGCGGATGACGATGGTTGAATCGAATTCACTGCTTGGTATCATGACGCCGACTGTGTCGACTTCAGAGCAAGAGCTCGAGCGCTTTCCTGCACCTTGCCATCGCATGTACGGTCCTTGTGGTTCATATTGCCCACGTGCCACCAACGCGTTTATGAGATCGATGCATGTAATGACCGCCAACGTGGCAGACTCGATTGCCTTCACACGTAGCGCGGGTGTTGCCATTCGACACGATCGCATTTTGCATGGCATGCTGGCGTGGCGATCACCGCCCTTGTAGAAACGGGTGTCTGTCCATCGTGGCGTCGTGCAGCTGAGCTGTCGAGTGGATATGAGTTACAACTCCAGCGTGAAACACAGCTCCATGGAGCAGCCCCCTTAAGCGGACGGACGGCGGACGGCCACTTCTTGCTGATGTCTGCGCAGTTGGGGGCTGGCTTGGGTGAGCGGATCCCGCCGAATGCCCTACTTGCCTTCGACACGTCATTCAATCACATGGATCATTGTGAGATTACCGCATGCAGCACTGGAGACTTGCGCTTATCCTATGGGCCACACGACATCAGATCGAGGCCGGAACTCAGGCGTCGGTGCACTCAACTTGATCATGGCATCAGATCTGCGGCACCCACGTGATGGTGCACGTGGGTGCGCACTTGAGCTTCCACGGCAATGGACAAGGCGCTCCAGGGACGCCGGAGATGCCGCACGCATCCGTTGTTGTTCATAGGAACCAAGATGCCAGCAGCCGATCGGTGTCGAAGAACAGGGGGCCCCCGAAACTGAGTGTGCGACTGCGACCAAGGCACACACGTCCCAGCGTCCGTGCATGCGTCCCTACCCCCGGGGAGCCCCAAGGGAACGAAATGCAGTCGAACAATCGGAAGAGGTCCGTGCGTTCGAGGAAAACGCAGGGCAAGGTTCCGTGAAAGCCATGCCCTCGCGTCATTGCTGAAGGTGGCGATGATGGAAGCGCCCCGAAGGTCATTTCGGTAGTGTTTTGACAAGCTACGACCGGCCAAGGGCAACTAGGATGCCCATGAATCCATCGAATGCTCCATTGATTGCATGCACCGATGTTGGCCTTCTTCATGGTTGCGACTGCTGGGGGATCGAGAGACAGGTGGCATGGCCATCGTCAAACAGCTTGACACAGGAGAGTGTATCAATCGATTGAATTGCAGTTGATGCACCTGGTGGCTCGCATTCGACGATGCGCGCACTTTCACCACCGATAGAGGCAGCAAGCGCACTGGGGGCGACTCCAGGAGCGCGGCGACGGCGCGCTGGATGTTGAATGAGTTCCGCTGGCCGCATAGTACTAACTCATTGAGTTAGTTAGTCCCTTTAGGAGGATTAGTTAGTCCGAATTGCGGAACCGATTAATCTGTGCGATCTAATCGTCCGGATAAACGAGTTTTGTCGCTACGGGTGCAGACGACGACGAAGATGGGAGGATTGACGTTGGACGAGCGCGTCCTGCATGACGCGGCGGTTGTCCAGACCATTGCGGCGCAACGTACGTCTTCTCGTTGCCGTTCTCTTTGTCAACAGGCATGGTGTAGAGTTGGAAGACCTGTGTATGATGTTGCAGCTGAACGTGCCTTCGCTCCCAACGGACAAGAAGCTGCGACGCAAACTCAGCCGACATGCATGTAGGTTGCAACGAACGCTCCTTTGCTCACGGCGCTATCCTCACAAGCGTGTAGCTACTGTGGGTTTGACGGCAGAAGACATGGATCGTGCCGTTTCGGGCTTGAGCACGATCCTCACGGAAGCGTCCAAGGTAGTCTCAAGGATGTCATGGACGGCACCTCAATGTGGTCTATCGCAGAACGACTTGTCCTCGGCAGACCTGGCGCACTCCATCATGAGCCTTCGTTTGCCTACCACCCACGTTGACGTGCTGACACAGGTATGCGTCCCTCATCAATTGTCCTTGCACTCAAGAAGGATGGATGCAGTACTACGTCGAGTACAAGGACCAGATCAAGGCAGCGGTCGCGTGGAACCCACCGTTGGGAGTACCAGCATACCGATCACTAGACTGGCGATTCGACATGGAGGTGCGCACCGTACCCCCTGCGCCCTGATCTTCACCGTTGTGCCTCCAGCTTGGGACCCGCACATTGCATCACCAAGCAAACCCGGTGCTAACCCTTCAGATCACAACGACCGCCAACGACACTGCACCGCAGTTGGTGCAATGTAGCTATAGTCAGCTCCACGCTCTCCACGACTCCCTCAAACGTGCTTTGAAGGAAACCTCGACTCCCCACGGAAGCCGCATGCAGCGCTATCTCTAACTCCAACGACGTGTAATTCAATGTTTGTTATAGCATTGCTAAATACTGGCCACTCCCAGTGACGTGATCTGAGAGGAGCATCTCGCGGTACGCCACGTCATGAGCGAGCTTCTTCCTCCACACTACCAGCCCCACGACACCCAAACACACGGCAACACCACCCACGGTAATTCCTGCAATGGCTCCACTAGACAGGACAGAAGCCTCGGTCGGCGCAGTTGGGGACTCGTTGCCGATGGTGGCACCAGCAATAGATGGAAATGGAGTGGACGTCGTTGACGGCGCAGGCGGTGTGGATCGTCGGGGGCTGCGAGTGCGGCGCGGGGACGTCATGTCGTTTGAATCGTACGGTTCGTCAGTGTCGTCCGAAGTCGCATTCTCGTGATCAGTCATTGGCGCAGGAGTTGCTTTTGACGATAAAGTGGAAGGGACTGGAGGTTGTGGGAAGGACTGTGGCAATGCGGTGGCGGCTGCGTCGGAAGGACGGGTTGTGGTTGCATTGGTCGATGCATGCGAAATCGATGGTGTCGGTGCGCGAGCAGGCGGAGACGTGGTCGTTGTCTTGGTAGATGCAGGGATCGAAGTGCGGGCTCCGCCACTCGCAGACGTGGCTGAATGGATCGCTGTTGCACATGGTGTTGTCGTGGGTGCAGCGCTCGAAGCACGTGCCTCCGCGGAAGCGCGAGGAGTCGACGGCATTCGAGTCGCTGCGGGGCTCCGAGATTCAATTTTGGAACGTTGCTTTGGAGGCATGAGGAGATACCCGTGACAAGTTGAGCAACCCATCGACCCGGAGCACTGCTTGCACCTCTTTCGCGGCATGAGACGGAGGTTGGCGCAGTTCAAGCAGTCGGACGCCTCGCCTGGCTCAATCGAAACACACCAGCCAGTGCGGCAGTGTGCTTCCGGCATCAAGCCGATACGTCGCACCGTGAGTACCGCTTGAAATGTAGCACTGTATGCTTCATGAGAAGAGGACGGCAGTCCCGTGCTTGTCGGCGCTAGGAAGCCGAGCCCGGCGATGCCACATGCGACGATGCGGCTCAGGCGGCCGATCATGAATGTGCCCGTTCACGCCAAACAAGGTTTTGCACAAGTGCGCCGATGGAACCGTCGATGAAACCGCGACGACCCGCCGAGGACGGTGCCAAAACGTGCGCAAGTCCTGGCGCAACAAACCAACGTGCAGCTGCCGCACGCATCACAGGACGAGATTGACTGTGATCCACGCATTTTGAATATGACGGGACAGCAGCCTGGTATGGCGGTGAAGGCATGTAGGGCGGCCGTGGTGCGATGGTGGCGGGGCCAATCTCCCGCTGTACTGCAATGGCATTTCCTTGCAAAATGGAGACAGGATCTCATTGAGAGTTAAACAGCCTCTAGTTAGCTCTGCATTGCCTTAGACTAGAAGTGCCTCACACAGTGAAGGAGCTTGGAATAGTTTCGTTCCCATCGTGCAGAGGCGGATACAAACTTCGAGCCGCGGACCAGGGGAACGAATGAGCATCTGTGGCTTTCTCGAACTTGCCCATGCTAGCTCGGTATGCCGCGAGGGACTTTTCAGCATGTAGGGGGTGCAGCCTCTGCATGGTGGATGCCCTGGTCGAGTTGACGAATCGCAGCAGTGGTCACAGCAGCTGCAGGCTGCATGGGAAGCGTGCGTTCGATTCCCTGGTTGGAGAAGTTGCGGTGCATGGGGCGGACATGGTCGTCATCGAGAAGCTGCGGTAGTTTTCCGAAGCCGATCGACCAGGGACGGGACGTTGACTTTTTTTGCCTTTTTCCCGCTGGAGGACCACGTGACGCTCTTGACGACGTTCGAGGTGCTGTTATTGTTGCTGCTTTTGCTGTCTTTCCCCTTGGCTGCTTTTCCTTTCCCGCCCTTGCGGCCATGCGCAATGGCGATTTGCATCCGTTTGTACAGCGACGACGCCGTGCTTGGTTCTGCCTGCTTTTCAACTGCACAAGGCAAAGTCGCATCCACGAATTCGCGCTCCGAAGCATCCACATCGGACGGGAGCAAGCGCTGTGGCACCATTGCGTGCAGAGAAGTGTTGCTGCCGTTCGAAGGCGACGGCGCCGCGTCATTCTCTGGTGGAGCCGTCCACCCCGGGCGCGCCACGGGAAGTGGTGGTGGTGGCCCCGCCGCGTCGGATACATCTTCATCTAGCTCTGGCGCGCCACCCAAAAACGTGTCCAGGTCGACTTCATCGTAGTCAAAGTCGTCGCCGTCGACAAACTGTAACACGGATTGAGCGAGTGTGCTGGGGAGCGATGGCTCAACTTACTTTGATGGCAGCGAGAGCGGACGTGAGCTTCTTTCGAATGTGAAACCCACGATAGGCGGACTGAACCTTGGCGGCAGCAGTTGCCGTGTGCATTTGTCTGTCAAGAAGGTGCTGCTGCCGCTGACGCAGTCTGTACTTTTTCCAGACAAGTTGGATATGCCGCGCAGCAGAGGCCATGCGGTATTCGTTCTGCTGGCGTTGCAATTGCTTCTTGGTTGCAGCGACTCGCCACGAGCTCTGGATCCGACCCGCCGCGGCTCGTTCGCGCCGTTCTCGCCGCTGGCGTTCCAGCAGCTGTGATTGCAATCTTCTTCGGCGTTGGCCACCTACAATGGCTTGCCACCTCCGCAGCCACTTTGTTAGCTGGTACTGTCGAACGTGTAGCTTGTCGTCTGCCTCGATGATTCCAGATCGCTGTTCCTCCAGCGCCATCAGTTGCCGCGCTAGGCTCTCTTGCTGTCGGCATCGCACCCAGGCGATGGTGGCTGGAAGCACCTGTTGTTGAAAATGCAGCTTTTGGCGCTGGACGGCTTCCGCGTGTAGTTTTTTCAACCGAAGATGCTCTTCGTGGATGGCATCCTCTCGCTGCTTTTTCCAGATCTGTTCCAATCGAATCGCTTCATCTTGCTGCCGCTTCAAGTCCTCTTGCTGCTTTGCTGCCTGCATAAGCTCTTGCTGCCGTCGGGCCTCCTCCGCTCGCTCTGCCTCTCGTTGGAGTCGTTCCAGGCGCTGCTTTTCTTCGAGGGCGTGCTTGGCTGCTGCGAGTTTCCTCTGCTCGGCTTTGTGTTTTTCCAGGTCAAGTTGCTTCCTTTTCTCCGCTTCCTTTACCTGGCGCTCACGCTCAATTGAAGCGTGAACGGCTCGCTGGTGAACTTCTTCCACTTCCATGGCACTTTGCTCGGCCGATTCCCGCCGGCGGGCCTCGTCGTACTGCTTTTTACGTATCTGGTGCTGTCGTAATTCTTCGGCTTGAGCTTCCAGTCGCATCGCGACTTCACGCTCGACGCGCCGCCTTTCGCACGCCGATTCATCTTCGCGGGCCATACCACCTCTCTCGGCCCCTTCTCGCCTCGCCCTGTCTTCCTTCTGGTTGTGGCGGCGCAGAACCATACCTATCCTATCCTCGGCCATCATGTCGATGATCGCGATGGCCACTTGAGCAGCTTCACGCTCACGCTGAGCTGCCACCTTTGCCACCGCTTCCTCTTCCATGCGTTGACGATCCATCGCCGCCTTCTCGGCCTCGATTTTTCGCTCTCGCTGCAGACGTGCCTCCTCCACTTGTGCAGCAAATGCAGCCATCATGCGATTCCCTTCTTCCAATTCGACTTGTGTCTGGCGCAATGCTACAAGACGGTCGGCTGCGGTCAGGCGTTCGTCGGACGAGTGTGATCGCGTCGAGGCAAGGCGGCGCTGTCGTTCTTCTGTGAGTTGAAGGATCCATGCGGTCATGGGTGCTGGTGCAGGAGGAGCATCTTCGACTGAGGAGATGGCTTGTTCTAGCTCGGGCTCGGTGACTATCGGCGGGGTCGCTACGTTTTGTGCACATTGTTGGACAGGAACAGAGCTTGAAATGCCGTTGCTTGGGGCAACAAAAGGTAATGGTGACGAGGACGGCGTCGTCAAGGAAGGTGCAGGGGTTGACGCCATCGCCATATCATGACGAACGGTGGCAGCAATCTGCGCGACAGAAGCGAGGGCCAGCTGCATGAGCCTGTGGTTTTCGGCGGCGGAAGCGACCTGTGCCTTGGCATCCGCTGCCTGAAGCGCGTGCAAATGGACACAGCGAGGACCGCAGTGGATGGTGCACGGACCAAGACAGAGTGGTGTACAATGGTCGGGGCAACAAAGGATCGCTCCTTCGTCGTCCTGGAGGTCATGGAAAACATGCTCCTCTGGAACCACGGCGATCTCAATGGAGACTCCTGACGTTTCGCGGGATGAAATGACTGGTATGGTACAGGTTTGGAGGTCTTGCAACGACGCTTCAAGTATCGCAAACAGATCGGCGTCGCACTTTGCAGTGGCGGCAGCATACGTATGCCATGTCTCGGATTCAATGGAGAAGTTGGCACTCTCTTCACGCGCCAGCAAGTCGTTGAGGTCTAATCGGCGGTACGGTTCCACGACAACAGCCCCATCGACCCCTGATTCGTCATCCTCGTCCAGGTGGAGCGCGGCCAGCTCCCGCGCCAGCTCTGCCTCCAACGCGTCCTTGACCAACATCTAACAGACTCTGCCAACTGCCAGGCCCATGCCGCCGCGGCGGTCAGACCCTGGGCGAAATCGGAATGGCGGTTTCACCTTAATTAAAGATAGAGCCGTCTTTCTTCAATTTACGCATCTACATGACGTCGCTCCACATGTGCTCCGCGCCGGTGCCGCTGGTCATTTCACGGAACCGAGCGTCCATCGCGGGCGACTGCTCGGAGGTGTAAAGATTTCGCCAGCCGCCAACCTTGACACGACTCTTCTCGGTCTGGACGGCATGCAGGATCGCGCGTAGCAGGGTACTGTCATGTTCAACGAGGCGATCTTCCAGCGCATCTTGACCCAAGAAGCGCGCGATTCGCAAGAGCCCGTCGCGAGGTTCAGCCAGCAAGTATTCGTATGTAAGGAACAGGACATTGTTGTCGCCATGGCGACGAAACCACGGCACGAAGAACTCGAAGAAGTCGCCGAATTCGACATTTCCCGCGAGGAACGCGTCAAAGTAATCGCCCCATATCGCCTGGTCTTGGATATGGCGGTAGTAGTAGGACGCGGACGTGTCTTTGGGATTCCTGCCCACGACAATGTACTTGGCGTCGTCGTGGTGGGGCGTGCGATCGTACGGTAAATGCGTACGGAAGAGACGAACGACATCCTTGGACGTCATGCGCTCACACGCCTCGCGTCCATCGCGTTCCAAGTGGGGCACCGTTGCAGCATCGTCAATCGCGGCTTGTACCGCGTTTTCGTCTTCTCGGAGCAGCGCGATCACAAGGCCTAGGACCCACGACGTACCACAGTCTGGGTACGCACACACGAACACATCCGAGGGACGCGCAGGCAGTGTTTGGCCACTGACAAAGTGCTCGATGGAGTACGTCGGCGGAAGCGGAAACCCGTCGTGGTGGATGAGGTCTGCCAGCATGATCAATGTGTTCTTTGCTGCGAAGCATGGAAAACATACTGTGCATGCAGTTTTGAAATACTCTAATATTTAATACAATATCTACTTACGTAGGTTTCGATGAAAATATATGTCCAGCCCCACGGTTCGAAAAGAGTCACAATATGCAGTTCCGTTGTCATAAAGCAACCCAGCCTCAGTAATTGCACACCACATGTGCTTCGAAACACTTGCTACTTCGTCGAAACGAGCTGGTGGGAATTTCGTCGAGTCGCGAGCGAAAAGATATTCTCTCGAGGATGTTGCACGCTATACCTCCAGTCTATAAATACCGTTATCCGGATGTCGACGATATCCGGTCAATCCGCAACCGTTTCGCAAATTTCGGCCGGGGTCGCCGTCGGTACCGAGATTCCACGGCATTGGATCTTTGGATGAGCGTGAACAAGGCGGCAGTGGTGGCGGTAGGGATGGAAAGGAAGCGGTCCATGTCGGACGTCGACGAGAGCGTACGTTGACGAAGTGATTGACGAGTCAACGTGTGACTTTGCCCACAAACGTAGTTCTTTGACGCACAGGAAGGAGGAGACGGGGCAGTCCCAGTAGCGCCGTCCACGTTCGTCCAGTCGAAATCCCTCGCAAAAGGTATGCAGATTGGTGAATGTTTCGTGAAAGGCCATTGTTACCCACCAACGGCAGGGGACTCGCCTTTGTCAGCCATCTTGGAACAGGAGTCGGTGCGGAAGGTGGAGCCGACGATGAGTGCCTCGTCGTCAATAGAATATCCACGCACGAGTAGCAGCGGCGACGAAGAATCCGTTCGACCGGAGGATGTCTTTGTCGTACGAAATAAGGACACGGGCGAGGTGTTTGACATCCGCGAACTGGACACGAAACCTGTCGACTGCTACACGATGTTTCCGCAAAACTTTGAGCCGCATCTTCGCGACAGCCTCAACGGCGACAGCATTGCGAGGGACAGGGACAGCAGCAGCGGGTCGCTCGAGACGGACAAGAAACCAACCGACAAGCAGCAAGGCCGGTCCGCGTTGTCTGGGTTTCACTTTAAGCGAAAGGAAAAAGTCCCGCCACCCCCCGACGGCAAAACCTACGTTCATGTAGTGTTCGGCTACACGCGAGCTCGAACGTTATGATGTTGGATAGGTGTCGTCGTCGTCCAAGAAAGACAAGCGCGAGTTTGATTGTGTCGCGGAAATGCAGACTCTCCGGCAGCACCACGGGACAATCTGGACGATGAAGTTTAGTCACGATGGCGCGCGCTTGGTCTCTGGCGGTCAAGACGCCATTCTTCGTGTGTGGAAGGTCGACGCGTGCGCCAAGCTCCCATCGACACCACGAGGAATCGAAGCATCGCCGTCGACCGCCGGCACGTCCATGCCATCAAGTCAGCGGCCGCATCTCTTGGAAGGCACTCCCGAGCAGATGTACAACGGCCACACCATGCCAATTGTGGACGTATCGTGGAGCCGCAGCAACTTTATCTTGTCCGCATCCATGGATAAGGTACATGGCCCTCTCTCGTTTGCTCAAATGCCGAGCGCTGGCTGCTTGTAGACCGTTCGCCTGTGGCACATTTCGAAACCAGATTGCTTGCACGTGTTTCAACACCCCGACAGCGTGCCGGCGGTGGATTTTCACCCAAAGGACGATCGGTTCTTCCTCTCTGGCTGTTTTGACAACAAGGCGCGCATTTGGAACATCCCGGACGGATGCGTCGTGTCGTATGTTCAGACGCCTGTCATGATCACAGCCGCGAGCTTCCATCCGTCGGGGAATCGCATCGTTGCAGGTACTGACGACCGTGCATGATCCACGGCATTATCGTCATCGACACGGACAGGTCTATTGAACGGGCAATGCATCCTGTACCAAGTAAGCGCGCACCAAGCCATGAACTACTACACACAGATTGAATGCCGCAATGCGCGCGGCGCGACGCGGAAAGGACGGAAAGTCACCGGCATCGAGTTCTCGCCGGAAGGAAAGTACTTTCTCGTGAGCACGAACGACTCGCGCATGCGCCTTTTCAGCGTTGACAACTACTCCCGCGTGTGCAAGTACAAGGGCTTGGTCAACAATTACCTTCAGATCAAGGGCCGCTTCAGCCAGGATGGCGACTACGTGATCTGCGGGTCGGAAAACGCCCAAGTGTACATCTGGAACAAGAGCGCGGCGCATTCGAGCAGCATGCTACTGGGGCACAAACATGATCGAAACAATGCGTTCGAGTCGTTTAGTGGTATGTCGTTGCATCTTTTCCCTGACGCCAAGTCTCATGCTGGTTTCATGCAGCATCCGACACGACGGGAGGAGTCGTGACAGTGGCGCTCTTTGCCCCTGCCAGCACGTACGCCCTGGTAAACCACGGGACAGATCTCGTCGACAAAAGTGGGAGGGCTGCCGACGACGTCCACGGCAAGGCGTGCACGGGATATATCGTCACGGCCAGCTATAACGGATGCATCAAGGTCTACGAGCGGGTCACAAGGCATGACGGCGTCCGCTAGTTGGAAAGCCGCCCGTGAGGCAGGCATTCGTAGGGTCCCGTCGTCCTCGGCATGTACATCTTCTAATGCAGCATGTACACACGCATACAAGTTGCTCATTCTTGTGTCTCGCGCTTCCACCGAATCGCGCTGCTCCACAAGAATGCTCTGGCGAATTATCGGTGACATTGTCACATTCAACGTGTGCATCGAGTCGCGATTGGTGATGCGGTGGGTACATCGGCGGCGGCGAATGAAGATTGGCGGCTGAGCCTGACTATCACACGCGGTGGCCGCTGCGTCCACAGGACATCGGACCGACGTGGCGCCGCCGCATTGCATGCACGAATGCGACGAGGAACGTTCGTCGTGACATAGTTTGTCCCATTGGGACTTGAATGGTTAGAAATTGCTCGAGCAACGATGAGGACTGAATACAAATTTCAAGATATTTGGATTCGATATTTTGACAATTGTGGAAATACCACGGTCATGGGACAAATTCGGTCGGATTTGTCGTTCCACCAGATTCAAATTTGCAGATCGGATGGCCAAGCTGCAGCTCCAAGGTGCTTTCACGGCGCTTGTCACTCCATTCACCGCCGACGGCGAACACGTCGACTACGATGCACTCCGCCGCATTGTCGAGTTGCAGATTTCCCGTGGGATCAATGGATTGGTTCCCATGGGCACGACTGGCGAATGCCCTACCGTGTCCCATGAAGAACATGACAAAATCGTCGCATCCGTGATCGAATTCGCTGGTGGTCGGGTGCCTGTGATTGCCGGCACGGGTTCCAACAGCACGGCAGAAGCCATCCGATTGACCCAAGCTGCCAAGGACGCTGGCGCCGACGCGTGTCTTGTCGTAAACCCGTACTACAACAAACCATCCCAAAAGGGGCTTTACGAACACTTCAAGAAGATCCAAGATATTGGTCTCCCCGTTGTCCTCTACAACATCCCTGGGCGCACGGGCATCAACATGACTCCTGAGACCGTCGCGGAGCTGTACAAACTCCCCAACATCGTTGCCATCAAGGAAGCTACCGGGTCCTTGGAGCAATCGTCGGAAATTGCCGCGCTGTGCGACATTACGATTCTGTCGGGTGACGATACACTGACGCTGCCCATCATGTCCATTGGCGGGAAGGGCGTGATCAGTGTTTTGTCCAACGCGGCCCCCGAGAAGGTGCTTGCGATCACAGACGCCGTGCGCCAGGGGGACTTCGAGGCCGCTCGTCGCGCGCATTTGGCCTCGGTACGCGTAATTCGTCTGCATTTCACTACTTGATTGCGCTAAGGAGTGTCCTGTGTAGATCAAGCTCTGCAAAACGATGTTCATCGAAACGAACCCGCAACCGATCAAGAAGGCGATGCAGTTGCTTGGTCTGTGCAATGACACGTGCCGTCTGCCGATGGTGTCGTGCTCGGACGAGTCGACCGAAATCATTCGGCAACAGCTCCAAGTCAACAACCTGCTCTAATTGTACATTCATCGCTGTGTTTGAATTCAAAAACTATTCGTCGCGCGATGACCACGCCTCATTTGCTCTGCCCTCGGCGGTTGTGGTGGCGTTGTTGGCGGCTCTCGCCTTGCTTAGCACACCACGCACGTGCAGACCGGCAACCGTGGGAATTCCAGGCCCTGTGCATGTGCTCAAGAAGGCAAAGGATTTTTACGCAAGCTCATGCACGTGGACTCCTACAACGAAGACATTGGCTTTCCCCGTGCCACTGGGTGCATCTTCCAACATTGGACCGATCTACAAACAAGCGTTCCGATCCACCATCACTCCACCAATAGCTTCAATATTTACAGTA